GAATTTTCCAGGGCACCTCTGTAAATTTTCCTAAAATTGCCAATGAAAAAACCTGCAAAGACAGGTTTTAGGTTTTGTCTTTTTGAAGGTAACCTAATGAGTCTTTGTTTGTTTAAAACAAAATATATATCAAAATGTCCGCCTTGGTGAGCTGAGTAAATTACTAATAATGAGCAGAATATATTTAATTAGTAAACTTTTAAGCAAATAAGCAAAAACCAAAATATTGGTTTTTGTAACTTTTCTCAATGGCCAGGAGTTGTTGGAACTTAAAACTTGACCACCTAGGAGCAGAAAAGTGTGCTGAACAACATTACTTAATGGTACAAGTAAGGTTAACTTAGTAAAATATTTGGAAATAATTAAATGTTTTTAGCAAAAATTTGGTATAAGTGATCTGCAGAAAGAGTTGCTGAAAAGTATTACTTGCCCCTATTCTTGATTATTATATAGTGGCAATTATAAATAATATAATAATAAAAAATTTTAGTTAAATTATAATATCTTGTACAATTTTGAGCATATCTGTTTATTTTTTTTTTATACACAAATAGCATTTTTTTAATTCTAAAATCTAAGTAACTATTAATTTTGCTAAAACAAAAATAATTATATATATAATCTAATTAATTTAATTAATAGTATTACTTTATCTACTAAAACTGCTATTATACTTTCTATCAAATTTTTGCTTCATTTTAATTAACAAATTTATTCTCAAATCTGAATATCTTATTGTGCTTCTAGACTTCAATTTAGTAAACAACCTTAACCTTCTCCAACATTATACATTTTTTAAAATTTACTAAATTAACAAACATTTTATTCAATCATCTGTTCAAAAATTAAAACTTAATATCCCAAATAAATCAAATATCAAATAAACTCTCTTATTATATGTAATTACAAATTTTGAAATTAGGTAAGACTTAGCTATTCTGATAGATTTAGATTACAGATAACTTGTTTGAGCTTCTAATTTTAATATCTAGTAGATATAAAATTCAAATATAAACTTTTTTTATATATTTATTTGTAAAAAGTTTAACTAAGTTTAATAAAGATAGAGCCATAGTTTTAACTTAATATTAAAAAAAAGAAAAAAATAATTATGTGTATATTACAAAATATATCTTATATTATTTTTGACAAAAATTAAACAATATAATTTGCATTATGCAAATTAATATAAATATATAAATTTTTTATTAATTTTGTATCTTGTATAATGTTAACATTTATTAATAATCAAAAAAACTAAACAACATCTGCTTAATGAGCTCAAATATTGTTTTTACTTTAGAAAGAATATATTACAAAAGTCATAAGTTAAATATGTAATATTAGTTATTTTATTGTTTTATATATCAAAAAAAAATGATTATCAAACCATTCTTTTAAAAATTTAAAAAAAATTAGTCACACAATTTTGTTATATAAACTATTTAGTAAAGAATAGTAAGTCTTATTACTTCTTGTCACTGCTCTATTGCTGTTAAAGTAAGAACACATTTTAAAATAAATAAAATTATAAATTTTAATATCAACTATTCATCACATACTTCATAGTTACAGTTTAATATTATAAATTAAGAAAAAACTTTTGTATATAAGTGATAGTTATCAAAAAAATGTCTCAAATTTGCAAAAAAATATTAAAATTAGATTATTAAAGACTGGTCTAAGGTATTTGGTCTAATAAATTACAATTTTAAATTTTTGGATTGAATAAGAAGCAATACTATTAGTTGTATTAGAAAAAATCATTAAACTATTTTTATATTAAATCTACAATAAAACTTGGCAGTAGGTTAGTTATAATTTGAAGTTGCTTTTATTCTTATAGTATTAATAACTATTGCAAAGCTAATAGTATAATAAATAGAGAGTTATATTTAAAAATATTTTATGAAAATTTAATTTAACTATCAAAAATCATGATTTGGATATTAAAAAGACTATGTTTCAACAAAACAATGCATCTTGTCATATAACAATTTTACTGAAAAGTTGACTTAAAAAGACAAGATTGATTCTTTGATAGACTCATAATTTCTTAACCTTAATCTAATTAAACACCTGTGATGTGATATTGATTATTGTTTTAGATACCTTTTTGATCAAATTTTAAATAAAAAAGACCTTTGAGAAAAGATCAAGATAGTTTAGCAAATGATTAATATTAAAATATGCACAAAGCTAATTTATTTAATTTAAAATGATTTATGATATTATTAGAGCCCAAAACAGTTACATTAATAATAAAAACCAAAAATTATTAAATAACAAAAAAATTTTTTTTTTATATAAAAAAAAAATTTTTATTTTATAATCATATTGCTATAGAAATAAGCAAAAATAATGCAATATATAAAATAAAATAAAGTCCATATCTGTAAAAAAATTTTAATCATTATTTTTTTAAAAATTTCTTATTAATAAAAATATTATTATTTATGAATAAAATAAAAAAACTAAACAAATATACTAAGAATTGCCAAAAATAATACAGTTTAACTAAATTTTTTTTTGTTGCATTATTTATAATTGCCCTTATAGTTTAATTATATTTTACATTAAAATTATATAATTTTTATTTGATTTTATAATTATTCATAATTATTTTAATATAAAACAAATATAAAAATAAATTATTCATAAAATATTAAAATTAAAAATTAATTTTTTATAATATATAAAAAATAAAACTAAATTTTGGTTTATAATTATTTTGCAATTAAATTAAAACAATACAAACTAATTTACTATTAAAACTAATTGAACCTAAATTTGAAATTAAATTGTATAAACTGGTTTTAACTCTAAGTAGAAGCATATTTATTAACATATAATAATTTTAATAAATTATTTAAATATAAAATACATAATAAAATCTAATATAGACTCAAATATAATATAAATATAGATTATATCATCACTTTTAATGCATCATATTTTATAAAATAAATTAAAAAGCTTATTAATAATAATAAATATTTACTAAAATATTTACAAATCAACTAAATAATATCATTTCTCATAATAATCTTTTATCAAATCTAAACTTTGTAGCTTCAAAAAACTCCTCTATACATCTCCCTATACAAATTTTATATAACATAATTAAACATTATAAAACTACTAACAAAGAAGCCTGAATTCTCTTTTAAGATATGTCCAAGGCTTTTGATAAAATTAATATAACAAGACTTCAAGATATTTATAAAAGAATAGGAATTTCATTAACAGAAATTAACCTAATTACAGAACTACACTCTCATCTATTTGCTAGAGTAATTATTGCTCATGGGCTTACCTCACAAATACCAATTAACTCTGGAATTGAACAAGTTGAAACATATTTACCTCTTCTATGGAAAATTTACTATAACCTTATACTCTACTTTATTTAAAAAAAATTCAAAAACTATTTATTAAAAATTTTATATCAATCCCCTATTGATATCATAACAAATACAACATCTTCTCCAATAACAATTCTACTATTGGTTTTTATAAATAATACCATCTGATATTGTGAAAGTGTAAATATAATGCAAAACATTATAAATGATATCTCTGAATTATACAAATTCAACAATATAGAAATTAATACTACCAAATCAGACCTTCTGTACATTAAAACCAAATTCATATTAAATCCAACTTCTATTCTCTCAATGAATCAACAAAACATTACATCTAGAAAACCACAAAATGTAATTTGATATCTTGGCATTTTTTATAAAACTAAGAATCTTCTAAACCAACTTTTGACCAAATTCAAAATAAAATTGAAAGCTTCCTTACTCTTATTCAATACAAAAAAATAACACCTTTACAAATTTTATTACTTTTCAACTTAATTCTACAACTTTTATTAGAATACTTACTTTAAATTATTCTAATTCATAAAATACATAAGCTAAATTTTCTTACCTTTTTACTATCCATACTAAAAAAATGCTTTCCTTAGCAAAAAACATTAACAATATAATCCTTACTAATTCACTCACCTTTAATTTATCAACTTTTCACAACATCATTCAAAAAGTTAATGCAGCTAATACTAAATGAATATTTAACACTTTACTAATTCTTAAAAATATAGGCATCCAATAAATTAAAGAATGGCTTACCAAAATATTATTACTTCAATTTTCATCAAAAACCTTAACTAACCACTATCAAAAAATGCAAAATTATACTCTACATTAGGAAGTTAATTTTATTTAATGTTATATAAAAATTTTATTTAAACTATATTTAAAAATTATACATAGATTTACAAACCCAATGTAGACTTACATATAATAATTATTATATAAATTTTAGATATACATATAATTAAATAAAGATTTAAATAAAATTTATATAAAATTTATATAAATTTAGTAAAATTAATATTTAGATAATATTTATTTATAAAATTTTATAAAAATTATAAACTATTTACATAATATTTATATAAATTTTATATAATTTTAATTTGTATTAGATTTTATACTAAATTTGAATAATGTTTATATATCATTTCATTAAAACTTTATATAAAATTTATTTAAATTAAAATTTGTATATAACTTTATTAAAATTTATATAAAATTTAATAATGATTTACTTAAAATTTAATAAAATCAAATTTAAATCAAATTTATACATTCGATTAAATAAAATTTCAAATAAATTTTATATAACCTTATAATTTATACAAATTTTTTGCATAAACTTCAAATATCTAATATATATATATCTTGGGATACCATTTTAATTAATATCAATATTCTATTTTGTGCACTGTTTATACAACTCATTATGGCAGCGGCAGTAGGTAGTAATAGGTATGCTTTAGCATTATTCACTATTAGACACGTTTGAGTCATCATCTTGATTTCTTTCAGTATTGTTATACTTCGTTATAAATTATAAAGCAATTAATAAATAAATATCTATAAAAACAAAACAAAAAAAAAAAAAATTACCAAAAAACATTGTAACTTTCACATTAAGTATTTCTCATCAAACTTGATTTTAATGATTTTAGGATTAAAAAAGTTATGCAAGACAGCCCGTGTAACAGCATATTGGTTATTGGTAATTTGCCTACCAAACACCTTTTTAGCAACCATTTGGAGGTAGGCTTTTTCTTTCTCTTCTACCATTGTATCTAAGTTTTCCAAGCACCAACATATATCATCGCTTGATTTCTAAGACAACATATTAGCTTCAGAGCTCTCGGAATTGACAGTTGGTGAAACCTTGTTCTTAAAAACATGTTCAAAAATGGCACGTCAGAAAGATCCAAATAAGGTTCCACGATATCTGCAAGATTCGGTACTGATCTATATATATTTAAAGTTTTAGATTATAAAATAATAATAGTTCAAGCTAATATCATATTGGTTTTAATACTGCTAAAACAATATGCTAATTATCACATAGTTTGAGTTGTTCTAAATAGTTATATATAAATTTTCTGGTGGTCATTTCCCTGACAGGACATCTAACCAACATCATAAATCATAAAAACTCACTAATAAAATATAACTGCAACTAATAAAACATTAAATTATTATGCTGTATGATGTAGATTAGATGGCCTATTAGGAAAATGACTATCAGAAAGTTGAGTAATATTGGTTCTAAATAGCTTGTTGCAATTATACTTACTACATTTTCAATTTTATTAAACAGGGCCTCCCATTTAGTGCCTTTTCTGTATCGTTCCATTTTGTCTAGGCAGAGGATTTCAAGTTCCTTTTGAATGGCTTCTTCATAAACCTTATTATTAGGATAAAGCTAATTGTCTACAGTCATCTTAATACCCTGCATTACCCCTTTCTAAATTTTAAGTAAAATAGTATAATTGTTTGATAATATAATAAAGCTAATAGTATAGAATAGATTTTCTACTCAAATAACAATAATAATAATAATTATAAAAGAGTTCAGGCTTAGATTAGTTTACTGATATTTTAAAATAACTATTAAATCAAAATACCTCAAATTTCATACTGATCTTAATTTTTCATTTGCTAATAGATAGCAAGAATGGAAAATCGATCTTATATATAGTATTATAATAAAAATACAATAATATACCTGCTACTATTCGCAATCATTTTCCTTAATTTTTAACTTTTGATATGAAGATTGTAACATCTTAATATCATTGATTAGTTGAATAACCATGACCTCTAAGGCTTCTTGTCTTTTCATGATTGATGTGTTTTGAGTTAATAATTGTTTGGATATTTCCAATATTGAATTTATTGTTTTGCTTTTCCACTTTGTACTAATTTGATTTAATAGTTAATATTTTAATTTAAAATATAATGAATTTATTTGTATTTTTAAAACTGACTGTGTTCTATGTTGGTATGT